ATCATAGTTGCAGTACTTATCAATTAAGGAACCAGTTAAAATGCATTCAGTTTTAGATAAGTTTAGTTTCGGACCAGCAACTTTACTAAATTGGTGAATAATATCTAAAGTAGTTGCCAATGAGTTGGTATCTTTTAATGCATTTGTACAGTCGTCAGCATGTTGAACTATCTTGATGTTTTTTGAAGCATTTTCATTAAATGATAGACCATGTATTTTTTTGTTATTTCTAATTTGGATAGCAAGTGGCAAGCTAATGGCGAAGTTAAAGTTTGTCAAATGCAAGTCAAATTCCAGATCAAGAGATCAAAAATGTTACCCAAAAAGAGGTCTTGTCTCGAGGAATATACCTGTGAAATTTGAAAGCCCTAGCTCCAACTATTCAAAAGTTATGGCGAAGGTTAAAGATTTTAAAAGTAAGTAAAACGTCAAGATCAAGGTCAAATAGGGCCCCAAGGGAAGGTCTTGTCAAAAGTGATACACATGTTCGTGAAATGTGAAAGCCCTAGAACCAAACGTTCACATGTTTTGGTCAAGGTTGAAGTTTTTTAAAAGTAGGTCAAACTCCAATGTCAAGGTCAATGCCAAAATTGTTGGTATCCAAAGGAAAGTCTTGTTCCAAGTTGTTTCAACAGTAGGTCAAAATCCAAGTTCAAGGTCAAAGGGTCAAAGTTGTTGGTATTCAAAGAAGGGTCTTGTCACAAGGATTACATGTGTGAAACATGAAAGCCCTAGCACCAACCGTTAAAAAGTTATGGCCAAGGTTAAAGTTTTTCAAAAGTAGGACAAACTCCTAGGTCAAGGTCAAAGGGTCAAAGTGTTTGGCCTAAGGTAAATATGAAAGCCCTAGCACCAACTGTTCAAAAGTTATAACCAAGTTTAAAGTTTTTCAAAAGTTGGTCAAACTCCAATTCAGAAGGTCAAAGTTGTTGGTATCCAACGGAAGGTCTTGTCACAAGGAATACACATGTGAAGATTGAAACCCCATGCACCAAATTGTTCAAGAGTTATGGCCAAGATAAAAGTCTTATAAAATTCTGCAAAAGTGGGTCAAACTCCAAGGGCAAGGTCAAAATGTCAAAATGATACCCAAAGAAAGGTCCTGTCACAAGGAATACACGTGAAATATGGAAGTCATAGCTCCAACCAATTAAAAGTTAAGGACAAGGTTAAAGTTTTTGCGGACATACAGACAGGCGGGCGGACATTGCAAAAACTACATACCCCCGAATATCGATACGGGGGCATAAAAATAAAATTGTGGTAAGTGTTATTCACACAAAATATTAGTTTAAAAGTTATTAGAGACATTAACCAAAGACAGAATAACTGAGTTTATGTTAAACTCATCTGAGCATGGCTCAAGTGAGCATTTCTGATCTCAAAGGGTGTCCGTCTTTTCTTTAACTGCTGTCGTCTGTAATTCTTTTTTTTAACATTTTCAAGTTTTTTTAAGAACCAGTGGGCCAATTTCAGCCAAACTCCTTCAAATGAAGGACCATACCCTCTTTCAAGGGGAGATAATTAAGAATTATTGAAAATTTGAAATAATAATAAAAATAATGACTCATCATTCTTCTTCTCAAGTACGATTGGGCGAGAAAAGAGGAAGATTATACGAAAGCTTTATTGCATAGTGTAGATTTGAGTTTTTCAAACCATGACCCCCAGGGCTTGGGCGAGGCCAAAATCGGTGATTAAAATTTGACATAAGAAGATATAAAAAAAAAAATCCTTTTAGGATCTACTACTCACCACCAACAAAGCCACGATTAGTCAGATTTACTAGTATATGGAAGCACCCTTATGTAGTGTAGATTAAAATTCATGACCGCTGGGGTAGGGTGGGACCAGAATATATTATCAAAGTTTTACATGGGAATATAAGTAGGAAAATCTGCCGGAGGACAGCAGGGCCATTGTCACTCAGGTAAGCGATGTGACCCATGGGTCTCTTGTTAAATCTTCGAATGTTCCAAACAATAATTATCCTTCAAGTGATTCCAAATATATATTGTTGCTAAGTAGAACTCAACATTTTGGTTATGAGAACATCGAAAACAACGACACTTGACATTTTACTTTATTCTGTTCTTATTTTGCTTTAATAAGAAGTCATAGTTTTATATTCCACAGAAAAATAGTTTATGGTATGATCAAATCGGGAAACCACCAAACGTAAGTAAATGATGTTATAAATACTCCAAGATATGATAAAAATCAAGTCTCTGTCATAGGGAAAAACAACTTTGCCGTCGTCGTCCCAGTTGCATCGGCAGTCCCAGTTACCGGTAATAGGGTGTGTTAAGCATCAGTGTTGCTCTGCATTTGTGAGGCCCAATGATATAGTTCTATCATTAAGCGGCGATTTAGCAATAGCGGTTGAGAATGGCACCTATTAATGGAATAAAATATTGTATTAAGCGGTGCAATTGCAACGCTAAATGATATTTGTATCATTAAGGGCGTTTTATCAGTAGTGGTTGCTACACTGCAGAACATAATGTCATAAAGAATACTTAATGAAGTTTGAATAAATTCTAGAGAGACTGAAGTACATTACTACTGATATTATACTGTGGTAAAAATTGAAATGTTAGTCACCTCCTAGATACATTTCCGTGAATAGTTTACCTTATCCTTTAACAGTATCGCTGTAGTCTCACTAAACCTCGCCATATCTACTGCGAACTCTTCGGGTATTATAATTTGCAGAACACCATAAAATAAAGGTCCCGAACACATAAATAGAAAATAGAATTTTATGTCTATCTAAGGTACGATTTCAGGTACAGAAAAAAAACCCATTCTACGTCAATGTTATGCGGGGAAGGGGGGGGGGGGGTAAACATGTCGATTGTCTTTCTTAGCTCTTAGCCATCTTTTGATTATATATTTCTGTTAAAAGTGAATGAAGTAATAGAGCGTAAATGATAATCGTAGAAAAAAAAATCTGAAACGCTTCTTTTTAGTTGAAGAAAAAACAAAAACAAAGAATAAATAAAGTCTTTGTATAGAAGATAAACAACTGAATTTTATTTACTAGGAGACTTGTCATTGCATCAGATTCTATCGTCCTTTCTACCTCCTTTGGAGGTTAAGTCTGCACTCCTTACTCATCACGCATTATTTTAGCAGAGTCTGTTTAATTGATTGTTCCGACCGACGTGTACATCAAAAAAAGTGATTGAATAATTTATAGTTTTTACAAGCTTATCTTTTAAAAAAGATTGGTGAGCTAGCGCTGTAGCATAATAAAATACAGAAGATATCTGAACCATTTGTTAAATTTGCTGAATCGATTAATTATTAATAAGAAGGCACATTGGAGCACGGGGGGGGGGGGGGGTCATAATTCAGAATGGTGAATCTTAGAGTGGGCTTCCCGTCGGCAATGGCATAACTCCTAACTGTGCTTTAAGCATTCTGTATTCTACTGTAATTTCAATTTGGAGGTGAAAAAAGGTCAGTAGAACCAATGAGCACCTAGTTTAAAATATTCCAGTGTGGTACTGTTTTTTAGCAATCACATCTTCTCGGAACTTTCCGGCAAGCTCGGTATACATATCCGAGGTTGCGGCGGTTTTCCGAACTTGCCGGAAAAGTCAATGAAGGTAGATTAGAAAAGCTAGGTATTCATTACAATTTTAGAAATAACAGTCTTCGTTTTATAAGACCCGAGTAACTATTACTTTTTGTTCATTTGCGTGCAGGATAGACAACAAAAGACGAAACTTCAGATCATATGTATTTTCAGATGATAAAAACTAAACTGACATGTCTTTCCGACATACTCTGAAAAGATTTTTTTCGATCTTGCCGAAATTATTCAGGAGGGTGGTATAACTGTGAGGAAAGCTAGATGTCTGGAATCTTGGCATTATGTGACCTAAGTTTTTCTTGTACTTTTATGTGTAGGTTAGACAATAAATAAAAAAAAAATTCAGACTCCGGATCTAGACTGGTATTGCTTGTCTCTAATGTAAGAAACTTAATGTATATCGCACATATCAGACAGGAAAGGCTAGTGTAAATTCTGATCATATCTACATTTTTTATGACAAAACGAAATTGTTATCGCATAGTCTATCTACAGTAGTTTTCCCAAAATGCCCGACCGTGAAGTCGAGCATGCGTATTCCAGAAATATAGACTAACGTAGTTGTCAGCGCTCGAGAGCACTAGCAAACAGATTAGAAACATACGTATATTTAAAGTTTTGGTCGAAATAAGAATAAAAGTCACGTGGTAACCTTGGACACTTTCTGTCTAATAAAAAATGCGGACCCCTGTATAATTGTTAGGAAAAAATCATACATTTCCGGGAAGATTCCGGAATTTTTTATTTTATTTTATTTATTTATTGATTTTTTTGATTTTTTTTTATTTGTGGTAAAGTACAGTGTAGGTCTATAACTCGGCTAATCCCCCATCTTTAATAATAATAATAATAATAATAATAATAATAATAATAATGCTTTATTTAGAGAATGTAACCCAATTAGTACAAGGTACTATTCTTCCTGTCTGGTTTGCGTCTGAAGTCCGAAAGACTCCGAGAGAAAGTCATAATTTAGGGAGAAGGGAGTGGGGTAGATTTTCCGCCATAAATTCAAAAGGGGTCGTTTAAAAAATTAGAAAAATCAAGTTTATTTTAACAACCAGCTACATCAGGGAATTTTTTTTTTTTTTTTTTTCAAAATTTAACGATAGCGTTTTTAAAATAAAGATATTTGAATTAAAAAAGACCATTTTTAAAGCTCAAATTAATAAACATAATTTTGTCTGAGTTCTTCAAAATTGTTTCTGTCCGTATGTTCCACAATATGTTCCACTACAAACTTTATGTATGTCTTACAGTGTATGTTCAAATTAAATAAATGAGATAACAAAGTAAAACAACTGAGGAAGGCTTGCCTTTTTCTTTAATTCATATTTTTTTTCATATTGACTTTTCTTTTAAATACTGTAAATTCTAAAAATCTTAATTTTCTTTTCAGGTAAATACCATAAGTATGTGCCGGAAGTGAGGAATGTATTTTATTGCTTACTGTTTGCTGAGAAATATCAGATAAATCTCAATGAACAATCACACAGAATCACAAAGGACAAAATCAGAGACAGATATTTCACTGATATTACTGAAGAAGGCTCGGTAGATCTTCCTGATGGAATAACAGTAATGCATAATGATGTCATAACCTTTATATCAGACGATATCCGACATGACGTCATGTACGCCTTTGTTACGGAGTGTTTGGTGGAGGACAGTGATCTGGAGTTTTTCCTGTCCACGGCGTCACGTGACGTGATATCAGAATACTGCAGGTCAATGAAGTATTTGAGGAGTGAGGGAGAGAGATGTCTGTATATACCGGACAGTCCGGAGAAGATGTACGACCTTTTCATAGACAAACTACAACTGGACATCATCACACACTGTACCGTGTCTGATAGAGGTATTCATGAAAAGATCAGTGAATATTGTAAGTAAAAAAATATTTTTTTGTCTCATTTCTCCTAGTTTGAATGACAGCTCAAGCTCTTTCTTTGTCAAATATGTTAATTGATTCTGTGTTTTGATACTCATCGTTGTTTCATAATTTTAGTAGAGACTAAATATAAAATTGTCTCCCATTTACCTATTAATAAATAATAATTTCCAAAGTTTTCATATTTTTACAGTAGTACTTTATAGTTTTTTAATCTTCGTCTTAAGACTTGTATGTGTGTTACGTTTGATCTAAGACAACATTTTACTAAGAATATTAAAACGAACATTCATTGAAACATAAAAATCACTATTAAGGGTCTTATATCTGCAAAGTAAGTGCTTTAAGTCCATAGTGAACTGTATTAAACAAAAGTCGAAGTCTATTAAAGTGCTTTATTATAGTTAAACTTTTCTGTGCAACTTCAGAAAGAAAAGTAATATTTTTTAACCTTTATTTCTTATACCATATTATATGGTCCAAGATACCATGACAAATAATACCAAACTCTGGTGTATGCTAACTTTGAAATTTTAATCAATCTTGGCAAATACTTTAGAGATTAACGTTTATTCGTAACAGTAACTTATAGTTAACTACTTTCTGTATTGAGGGAACTAGCAGAGTTGATATTTGTTATGTGTTTTAAACACAACATTTTAGTTTTGCAAGTAACATTACAGTTTTCCTTTTTAAGCGAATAGCGTATACGCTATACGAATTTTATATATAATTCATATAAAGACCTTTCATTCCTGAAAATTTCAAAGAAATTCATTGAATAGTCTTCGAGAAGTCGCGTGCACAAAATTTTGTCTAAAAAAGAATAATAATAAACTCGAGTTTGGATTTATTAATTTTTAAACAAATTATATATTTAGGATTTTGAAAAATGTTTCTATTAACCCTACTAATATCGTTAAAAAAATATTGAAAAACACAAAAGTTGAAAAATTCGACTTTTTTTATTCGCTTCCGGTAGCGACCTGAAGTACTGATGACGAAAAAACACCTCGGTAATTTCGAACATCTAGAAGCAAGTCTCCAGTTAATAACTTAAGCCGTTTCTTAGATCCTTCGATGACAGAATTTTATTTTAAAATCAGAAAATTGTCCATAACTTGGCACAGGAACCGAATTTACCAAAAACAACAAAAAAAAAAAAAAAAAAAAAAAAAAAAAAAAAAAAAAAAAAACGGAATTTCATATAAAATTCATATAAACTTTAAGACCTTTTATCCCTGAAAATTTCAAAGAGATTCATTGAATAGTTTTCGAAAAATCGCGTGCACAAAATGTTGAGTATAAAAAAGAATAATAACTAGATGCGTTTCTTGTTGCTAGGGCAACAAGTGGTCTTCCGACCGAACTTTTCTCCAGATCGCTATACTACCTCACTTCATTTAATACTTTATTGAAGGTATTTTTTGTTTGCGTTTATGTAACACAGTCTTTCAACACAGATCATGATTATTAAAGGATTTTTGTAGAATCTCTGTTAAAAAAGCTTTAAAAAATAAGCAAAAACTATCATACATGTCTTCACAGAGAAAAATATCATTTACAACTGAAAAAAGAGAGAAACAATCTCCCGCCCCAGCAGGATTCGAACCCGCAACAATACGAGAAAGTATGGATCGGTCATATCTTTGCAATAAATGCATCAATCAAAATGATGAAAACATACTTAGAACTCTTAGAAGACTCTCTATTAATCCTCTAAATCCCAGAGAAAAATATTGAAAAACAAAAAAGTTACAAATTTAACATTTTTAAATTCACTTCCGTTTGCGACCGGAAGTACGAACGACGAAAAATAATGGTCGATCAACATATCTACATTTGATGCTCTATCACCTCAGCAAGTTTCATATTCATATCTTATCATGTGTATCGGAAGACCTTAATGATAACTAGTAAACTAATTGTTCAGAGAACAATTAGAGGCCTTTCCACCTTTTTCAGTGTTTTCGTGTCATTTGGGCTGAAAAAAAAAAAAAAGAAAAATGAAAAAAAAAAAAAAAAAAAAAAAAAAAAAAAATTAAAAAATTATAAAAATAAAAAATTGCTCCTCTACCTAGGATCGAACTCAAAACCCTTGGTTTGAAAGGCAGGTGCGCTAACCACTGCGCTACACATTGCGATAAAATTGGGTAAGTTAATTGATAAAGACTATAGAATAAATACAAGCGTATTTTTAGAATCGGTAGGGGGAGAAAGAAGTTCCGAAAAAGAAAATAGTTCCTGAACTTGCAAGCAGTATATAAAATAACAAGGGACGGGCTGCGTGAGAAAACGTTAACACTGTTCCCTAATGAAAATGTATTGATGGACTGTAGCCCGATTCATCGATATTGTGAGCATGCTGAATTTTTTTGAAAATAGCTTTGTTGTAAGCTTAAAAGATCGGGTTCGGATTTTAATATTTCTGACTGAATATCCTGAAATAAATATGAAACATTTAAATAAGCATTTCTTTGGGTTAAATTAAATATGTTTAGCACAAATTAAACTCCCAACATGCATTTTTAGAAGGGAAACACGACAATGAAAGCAAGAATTGTTTTTAATATACCGAAAATCGCTATTTCTGGAAACTGATTAATTCTAAATAAAAATCAAATAAAATCCAATTGTAAAAGAAAGAGAGAATGCTTGGTATTAAAATGTCGTATCATATCAGGAAAATCGAATGCTACTAACGACATCTGAAGCAATAGCCGATAAAAGGTTTAGGTCATTTCTTCGTTCACCTGCACTTTAATTTCAAACACAACAGTACTTGTAGTTTTTGCCGTGAAACTTCATGACTTCTATAAACTTATAAGACTCACCGTAAAACTCTCAAGAAAGTTTCTCTGAGGTCTATACTACATTTGTACCAAATGAGGTGTCGATACGAGGTCTGGTTTGAATTTTAAAGAAATATTCTACGTTGTTGTTGATGTGATTTTTTTAAGAAGGGGGGGGGATGAATTATTTATTTTATGCCTCTTTTATACTAAGAATTGTAACTACTTTCACGTCTTTAATCCTGATTGTGACCTTTGGGTCAAGGTCAAAGGTCAATGTTAAAGGTCAAGGTCATTTAAAAAAAAAAAAACAACAAACAAACAAACAAACAAACAAACAAAAAAAAAACGAAAAAAAAAAAAAATCTTTACTTTCTATGTTTTTACCTGATACTGGAGCTGGATGCATGTCCTTACTTTTCATTTGACCCAATGTCAAGGTCAAAGGTCAAGGTCAAAGTTCAAGGTCATTTGGTAATTGCTATAATTTACACACATATAAAGAATTTCTTATGTTTTTAAATGACCTTGACCTTTCACCTTGACCTATATTTCAAGGTCAAAGTCAAATATGCCGATGAAGTTGATCCCATGTCTCTAGGATACACCGTTTAAAAAAAAGTTCATTAAATGTAAGCAGTGTAAACTTTCAGGGGCAGTAACTCATACAAGGGACCAAAGAATGCTTTCGCAGTGATAGAATAAAGAGAGTACTAAATAAGTCAAAGACACTGATGAAGGTTTGGAATCTCTATGGTTTACGGTTTTGGAGGAGTAGCGATAACAAGGTTTTATTGCGAAAGTGGTGAAACTTTTGAATGGGTCAAGCTTTGGGGACAAGAATGAAATCTTTAGAATAGTTTTAGAAGGACATGTTATAGATGCAACGATATTCAGTATATGTCGAAAGGTTTTCTACAGAATCTCTGACAAAAAAGCTATTAAAAATCAGCTAAAACTACCATACATGTTTTCAAAGAGAGAGAAGTCATTAGCAGCTCAAAAAAGAGAGGAACAAGAAAAAAAATTAACTGCCTCCAGCGGGATTCGAACCCCAGACAGTGGGACAAAGTTTGGATCGGTCAGATCTTTGCAATAAATTCACGCATCAAGATATAGAAAACATATTTAGAATTCTTGTAAGACACTCTACAAACCCTGTAAATCCTAAAGAAAAATATTGAAAAACAAAAAAGTTAAAAAATTAGACTTTTTGAATTCACTTCCGTTTGCGACCGGAAGTGCCGACGATGAAAAATAAAGGTCGTTCCATATATTGGAATTCGATGTTCTATCTCTTCAGTGAGTTTCAGTTTCATATCTTTAGCCGTTGTCGAGAAAAATTCTGGACAAAATGACATTTAAAAAATACAAATTTCCCCAAAAATCGCGAACGGAAGTGAATTTTGAAAAAAATGAAAAACACGGCTGGAGATATTTACATGATGCATCTTTCCTGAAAAAATCTCTGAAATCTGCCCACTCAGAGCTGAGATATCGCCATAACTATGAAAAAAAGAATAATAATGATAACTAGAAACTCTGCTATTGCAAGCAATAGCGTATGTCGCCCCGAACTGGCTTTATTAGAAATGATCTAAAAGTGTATTATTCTGTTTTCTTTATAAAGAAGCTTTTAAAAACACATGGTCTAGTTGCTGGGATTGGACTACCGACTTTTGGATTGTGGAGGCTTTGTTGTGCGGAAATAATAGTTTTGACAGGCAGGACTGGTGATTATTAAAAATTTTGATTTCCTCAAAAACCTCTTTTTTGTTTTATTTCTGATTGATGAACATGAAATACATCAGAACACAGATGTTTATACATGAAACTAACACTAACATATCTGGAGAATTGGATTGTATTGAAGGAATAACATCACTAGTTTTAATATATATTATGATAGTTGTGCTAGTTCATTTCATTTTTCAAAATAAGGTAACAATGCTCAATAAATGTATAACTTGTATAATTATACTGTAAAAAAAAAAAAATCATTATTTTATAATTTCATAAAGTATTATCTGTTAATTGGATTTTAAAATAGATTGCATCATGTCATGAAATTGACTTCAGAAATCAAATGGAAATTTAAATTTCTGTTTCTAAATAGACATTTTTTTTTCATTACTAAAGCTATATCCATTAGCTAAGCTTGGAAAACCATCAACTCCTATCAGTCCTTTCAGTACATTGATT